ACGAAAGGGGGATCGTGCGCGCCTCATGGCCCTGTTGTTTGTTGGCCCGTCGTGATCACGAGGAGAAGAGTTCTCCGAGTGTGACCGTGTTGTTTCTGGTGTTTTTTGGTGGAAAAAATAACGAAGTGGTGATCGGTGCTCACGGGTTGTTTCTTCACTGCGGTTTCAGTGCTACGTGGGGTTTTCTTTTTTGGGGGAGAGGCACGCTCGCCGGAGGATCGGAATAGAGGAAAAGAGAACGACAGAGATAGAAGGGAGGAGAGAGAAAGAGGCTCCCCAAGATAGACAGAGAGAGAGAGAGAGTGGTACACGGAGGGATAGAGATATAGAAACAGAGGAAGAGAAAAAGAGAAAGCAGGAGAGAGGGAGGGAAAGAGAGACAGAGAGAGAAGGAGAAGCAGATAGATAGACAGAGGAGGAGAAAGGGTGATTGGAAGACCCGGCTGGCGATCCGAATTCGCGGATTCGACACGCCGCGGTTGCCGATCCATAATATGGCGTACAAGTTTCGCGAAGAGATCGTGGGAAAGAGGTTTCTCTCGGTGAGTGGTTTCTCCAAGCTAAAGGTGAATAAGATCAGTGAGTGGGGGTGGCGTGCAGGGGTGATTCGTGCTGCCAGTCATAGGGATAACGGCTGTCATGATCTTCAGGTAGGTGTTGCCGTTTCAATTATTAATACGCTTAGTTCCTTGCGTCCGCGTAAATGAGTCCTACCGAACAAGGTGCTAGTTTCCAACTGCCGTGTAACGCGGAATATAGACTAGGTTTCGATGCATGCTGCCTATCTGGCATCGCGCGCGACACACGCCGTTTCTGTTTACATTACCGACCGACCTTTCGACTATTCGAACTTTGCGTTCGATCGTCTATCAACTCGTTCCATAAGTACTCCCGATTCCGTATGTAACTTTAATACGTGATCCAGACTCGATTCAGCTCGCTCTGTAGCAGGGCTGTATGTCTTACCCCACTATTCTCGTTTCTTCTATCATACGTTATTTCAAAACAATTCGATCGAGCTTACCAGCGAGTTTCTTGTATCGAACAAATTTGAATTCGACGCTGCCAGGCTTCTTTGGGAATGCAATATGCATAAAGAAATACATTCCCGATGAAGCCATGAATTTTTGACGGGTTGGGTTATTTTTCTGAAGTGGCGCGCTAGCTCGCCCTGTTTTGCTGGATCCATTTCGGAAAGGTTACCTTCCGCTCGAAGTGTCGAAACTTCGAAACAGAAAGCACGGTTACATAAACACACCGTGTATTTTCGCGATGTTCCCGTTCGCTCTAAATGTATATTTACCTCGAATGTGCAAAGAACCGTCTCTAGCGGCATTAATATTAATTCTTACACGCCCCCCACACGTGTTATTTGTTATTCAAATTTTAGGAGAAATTTCGTAACTAATTGAGCGCCCGTTAACGCTTCGTTTCTCGATCGTGAAATAATATCGGCGGAGATCGTGATGTTTTCTTTTTACGAGACGACGAGAGAAAAAAAAGGAGAGAAAAAGATGAAGTGCGGAATCTCGAAATTCGCGGCGATCATTCTACAAAAATAATTCAAGGACATCGAAGGTTATGATATCGAAGCTCACGAGATTAATTGAAAAACTTTACGATTACCCAGTGCGCAACGTTGAACAATAGAAAAAAACAAAATTACGGGACGTGCTCCGAATTTAACTGCGATGAATAATTCGTAATCAAATATTTATTTCGGGCCCGTGTGGCTGTCGAGTGAAAAATATTTTTCCATGCTCTCCAACGCGTCACCGGCATTCCCATTACTCTTCTTTATCAGCTAAATACGCATACTCAAAAACACATATCTTCCGCGTTGAGGCAGATGAAATGGGACGAATATATTTCTTCTTTAAAAGCCGATTCGACCGAGACAATTTATTTGCGCGGGAAATGTTAAACTTGCCATCTTACACTGGTACATTTACCCTAAAACCTTCTCAACAGTCATTACACTATTCCAGTAGACCGTCTTCTGGCAAATTATACTCCCATTTTCACCTTATTAGTGATTTAATGCAAGGATAATGCGTTTCAGGTATCTCATGTTTATAGTATTTTGAATCTTCATTGTATCTTTGCTAGAATAACATTAAATTAGACTACTATAGTCATTAAGTCAAGTAGATCTAGCCTAGATACACTCAATACAGAATTTTCGTCATTTGATCGTTGTTTTTTTGCAAAATGATGAATTTTCGTCATCCATCTGGATACTTGTTAAAAACAATCTTCATTCATTTCAACTCATATAATTCGAACATTTCACCTAACAAAACACAGACAAAAAATCAAGGTTTTTCATAGCAATTGCTACTTTAATCTTTCTTCACCTCATAAATCCAACAAAATTCCATTTGTTCAACACGTCATCGAGAAAATGAATTTTTTAATCTATACAAAGAATTATGTCAATCAAATTCAAATGACTATGTTTTATAGAGTTGAAGTATTAATCGTCCACTGTCTTATAATAATCTTCGAACGCGTATAGTCTCGTTGTATCGATCTCGAACCCTACCACCAGTTGTCGAATGATCGAGCACGAGTATCGACAACGTGTTTGCCACGAACACGGAATTGTTGCGTCATGTGTGGCGCGTGTCCTCGAAGGTGGACAGATATTATCGAAGGTCCGCGATTCATTGAGGAGGTGGAGCGAGCGGTCGGTCGAACTTGATCGACGATAAGCAAGGTTAAACGGCCGTGTACTCGCTGCCAAAACTGCGAAGTGGGGCAACGACGGTAGAGTCCTCAAGATGCTAGACGAACCACCTAACCGCGCCGCTTCTGTCAGATTACATAACAGATCGGACGACTTACCTGAGAGCTTCGTTTTCCGTTTTTTTCTTCTTCTTCTCTGTCCCTGCCACTTCTGCTTCCCTTCCTTTATTGCGACGTCAGGTCATAACTATTTCAGTTTTCGAGGACGCTGCGGTAGCTCGCGGTTACGCCACTGGTATTTGTCAGTAGCGGGGCGGAGGTGTCGTGATTGTGCCAGTCCAGATGTGACTGGTAGAAAATTAGCATATCAGTCGTTTTCCTGATCGTTTCGGTTGCCTGGGAATCTCACGGAATTTACTCGCGCGTTTGGCGGAATCTGTCCTCCGTGGAGCGGTATACGGGTTCATTATGCACTCGAGATGTCTACGTTCCTCTTGCCGATCTTTGGAACGACGTGACTATATACCGCAGGTTGTCCAGTGATCACGACTGTGGTTAGGGTACTCGGTTTGCTTAAATATTCTTCAATTGATTTTGAATTATTCCTGGATCTAGCAGTTCTTTGAATGGTCAACTCCATAAATTGCAAAAGATATTTCAAAAATGGCCATTTCCTCTGATTATATTCGTGCAAATTTGATTGGAACCGAAGACAGATCTGTTTCACCAAAATCGTCCAAGGAGATCACTACTCGCTGGCAATATGAATTTTTATGCAATCGATATAACCATGACCGAGCTTTCGCAATTGCGTGCGAGCATTCTTCTAACGCGTCCAATTGTTGTCCGGGACGATAACGGGCGCCGCGTCGTCAGCGGTCCTCCACGTAATGCTAATTGCGGTTGAAATTTTGCCGGCGATTATCTACGAAACGTCAGCGTTCCTTGTCCTTTTTTTCCATTTCGTCTTCATCGCGGAATTTAGTGCTCGCCGTTGAATTATTCATCGTGGTGGTATCTACGCGTTGCTAAAAGGTACAAAGTTCTTGATTCGAGCGGTGTCTCCTTGTTTTCGAGACCTTCCGCGCGAGGCGTTTTATTTCCCGCGCGGGAAATCGCGTGATGCTCGAGACTCGAAGATTGATGATCCTGATGGTTTCATTCTTTTCTCGGCGTACGAGTGAAAGAGAGGTCACCGGTTCTTCGGGCGCGTCTGCGAACTGGAAATTTTAATATTAATATCCATATTTATAATATTATAACGCGACCATTAATATTCCGCCACGTCCGGGAAACTAGCAACGCACGTACTCGGTGGAAATTGTACGGCCGATAAAATTGTTTTGTCCGCGGTGTTGGGATATTAATTCCGTCCGACGCCGTTCAGAATCATTTAAATGTAATTCAACGGTCAAGTATAATTCTCCGATCGCGGTATTTTTTATACGTACAGCAAATTTATGCTGAGACGCTTTTGTGCCGATTAAATGCCCTTTATTAACATGCAGGTCGGTGCATCGCTGCGCGTACGCGGAATAGAGGTATTCGACGATTTTCATGCAACGGTTACCCGGGATTTATCGTTGCAACCCTCCATTAGCATTTCGAAAGACTTCCAAGTATTCCAGATAATTCTTTTCCTAGGTCCAGGTGTTAATTGTACGAGTTCATCAATATTACATGGACACTAATGGTTAAAACTCTTATACGATGTGAATGCAGCAATTCTTCTAGTGTTTGAATACTGCAGACACATGAATTCGCTTGGATTTCGATTAGTCGATGCATACAATGCACAAAAGTTTGGGCAGTAAGACATTTAGGAAATATGGAAATAATTTACTATTATTCTCTAAATATCTTCATACTTTATTTTAATATTCGTATCATCACACATCACATCATTTTTCTGTTTCTTACTACATGCCCAATACTTTACTCATTCTTTACTGAATCTATAGAAAACCATTCCTTTGCGAACTCAAGAAACGTTTTCAATTAATCATTTTGCTACCTAACACAAAAGCATTTAATATTAACCACAATTCAAGGATCATGTAATTCTTCTTTCGCTCTGCTAGGAGTCCACATTTTTCCGAACACGCTGTATATATCGCCAATCCATCATGATTCACTGGTGGCGCCTATCTGCCTCTTTAAGCGCTCGCTGGACGATTCGCGTAAGCTCCGTTCAGCTGGTTCACAGTGGCGCCAACGTATCGCGCGTCTCCGGAATGAATTCAGTTGACATCTGCTTACTATTTGCCACACGGAGGTCATTCGCTGCGCGGCCATTGAGCTACTGTCCCGAGGTCGTTGAATCGGAGCCGCGGCGAATAGCGTTTTCGCTTTCTCCTTTCTTGAAAATGATACGATTTCGCGTTGACGGACTAATAAAGAACAACTCGTGTCCGCTTCGGCTAGCATTTCGGCGTCGGCGCCGCGATTCCAGAGCGAAAGCAAGCGAACCGATGCAGATGAACTTCAGGAAATGTCTTGCTCCTTCGCCTGTAATGCTCTGTTGCGTCCTACCGAACCGGAAAAATATTTCATATTAATTAAACTGCGAATCTCGGTGGTTCATTTTTGTATGGGAAGATCTGGAGTAGAGTCACTTATAACAAGATGGAATAATTTATAAAAAATTTGAACTGGTACTTTATGTAAAGACATTAGCGTAGTAGTGTCAGAGTGTTTATTTCTGTTCTTCGTAACCTTCATTCCATCCGCTTTAACCCCTTGTCCTATGATTTCTTCCTGAACTGTGATCAATCTACTTTGTTATTAATAATTTATTGAAAATAGTGTCAACGTGTACTGTGAGGTATAATCATTGATAAAAGAGGAATAATATGTAATTTGTATTCAAACAAATTGTATAATATTTATGTTTGTTAAATTCTATTTGAATTCTTCACCATGAGTTTGACAAGATGTTGCAGGACATGAGGTTAATAGAGAA